CTATCCAGTGCGCCACCGGGCCGGCCCCTCCCTTTGGTTTTTATTTGCATTTTTCCCTAATGACTGATGATGCTGTGCATCTTTTCACACAGCTGTTGGCCGTTTGTACATCTTCTTTGGAGCAACGTCTATACAAGTCTTTTGCTCATTTTTATTTTATTTATTTTTTATTTCTTTGACGGCCGACTGGTGTGGAATCAGAACCCTTGACCTTGGTGTTATAACACCACGCTCTTATTCCTGAGCTAACCAGCCAGCCCCCTTTGCCCATTTTAAAATTGAGTTTGTGTCTTTGTTGTTGAGCTGCAAGAGCTCTCTCTATATTCTGGATATTAGATCCTCCTTATCAAATACAGGATTTTCAAATATTTTCTCTTAACCATAAGGGTTGTCTTTTCATTTCCTGGTCATTTTCATTTCATTTTTGTAGAAAATAAACAAACATTTCTTTCCCTGAAAAACAAATATTGTCCTAAACCAGTGGTGGCTGTCTCTGGGTGGTTTGGATTGTCACTATTCTGTTTTTCCTGAATTAACCTTGGTGATGTTTTGCGAGTTCACCTTTTTTGCGAACTGGTAAATGGAAAGTGAAAGTTTTCGACTTCTGTTTCTAGGGGACTGTTGTGCATCTCGTGAAGGACCTGAGTGCCGGATGCTGAGTGTTAGTGGGGGGTCGTGCCAGCCCCCCCGAGGCCGGGCACACCCCTCTCACCGTCCCCGCTGCCGCTGCTGCTGCTTCTCCCTCTCCCTCCAGGGCACGTCATGCCTGGGAAAAGGAAACTGAAACTGAAGCCCAATTCGGCTGCGGGAGCGCCTCTCGCCGACACGCCCCCTGACGTGCCCTGCTCAGGCTCTTAAAAGGGCTGAGCCCGCCTGGGCATCAGGAACACCTGGAAGCTGAGGCTGCAACTTCATCCGTGCCTGCAAGGACCCGGTGCCCGAACCCACGGCCATGGTAAGGCGGACTTGACAGGAGGGCCCGGCTGGGCTCTGCTCCAGTTAGCTGTCCTCCCCTTGGCCCTGGAGGGGTCCCCTGCTGTGCCGGAGGACAGCAGGGCTGCTCAGAGCTTGCCCGGTTTCCCGGGTTTGAGGGGAGGGGCTCCCGAAGTCAGGTCTGGGTCTTGGAAGGCAGGTCTGCCCAGTGGCCGACCCTGAGATCCGTGGGGGAGGGCACAGAGGGGCATCTTAGTAGGTGAAGGCTGTGGGAGGCTGGCCTTTCTTCTAGAAATCACCCCCCCATGCCTCCCATGCCTCCGTGCCATGGGTCCTGATGGGTGGAGAGGACAGACAGTAGGAGCTTGCCCTGTGACCAGCGACTTGAGTGCAGTAGCCCCCAGGACTAGTGCCCGGGTCTCTGAGCCTGTGTGATGCCTGCAGGGATGGGACCTGAAGGTGAAGATGATGGGGGGCGACGAGCTCCAGGTGCCCCTGAGCAGCTCCATGCTGGCATCAGAACTGAAGCAGAAGATCACCCAGAAGTTCGGGGTGCCTGCCTTCCAGCAGCACCTGGCCGTCCACCCGAGTGGTGCGGAGCTGCAGGACGGCGTCCCCCTCGTCAGTCAGGGCCTGGGCCCCGGCAGTGTGGTCTTGCTGATGGTGAAGAAGTGCGATGACCCCCTGAGCATCCTGGTGAGGAATGACAAGGGTCGCAGCAATGCCTACAAGGTGCAGCTGACGCAGCCCGTGGCCCAGCTCAAGGAGATGGTGAGCCAGCAGGAGGGCACACCGGTCGACCAGTTCTGGCTGAGCTTCGAGGGGAAGCCCATGGACGAACTGCAGCTGCTGGGGGAGTATGGCCTTGTGCCCCACTGCATGGTGATAATGAATTTGCGCCTGCGAGGGGGCAGTGCAGGGCCTGGAGGGCCACACTGAGGGCCTCCACCAGTGTCTGACCAGGATCGAGTGCTGGAAATAAACTTTGTGCAAAGGAAAGTAACTGCTGCATGTCTGCCGCCCTTATCCCGCACCCCATCTGTCTGCTCCCCTCTCTGCACCCCTGCCGATGGGGTGGGGAGTTCGGCGAGAGCACTTCGGGTCCACCCGTGGTGACCAGGCCTGGGCGTCCAAGTTAGCGAACAAGGGTTTCACAGTTAGAGCCCAATAGGATCGAAATAGTGACACTCCTCGTGCCCCCTTGAAATTGAAGTAAGACAATTTGGGAAATTAACTTCTAGAGAAAGGAAAAGGGACACATTGACTGGAGCCATCCTGGCTAGGATGAGCCGTGGGAAGTCCCTGCCCAGCTGGCCCCCACCCCCGACATCTGGGTCAGCAAACAGCATAGGGAGGGATAGGCCTGGTCTGGTCCCAAAGGCCACAGGGCAAGGCCCCTGAAGGGACCAGCCTCTTCCCAGAACCCCCGGAAGCCAAGGGGTGAGTCCTTGGGGCTTGCCTGGGTGGGTTGTGAGGGCTACCCTGTCCTGCCTGCACTGGTCTAATGAGGGGTGGGGACAGGGCCTGACCACTCACGTCACCATTGGGGTGAGCTGACAAATAGAACCTGGTGGCCAATAAATACACCCCTCTTCAGGACTCCACTTAACGGAGAGGCCATAGCCAGCAGGCAAGAGGGGTACCTGGAATTGGGGACTCACAACACTGTCCCCAAGAAGAGCTTGTCCCAGATGGGAGGCACCTAATTTGGTAGAGGCTATAGCTTCATCGGATGCTTCCCTCTCTGTGTTTCACTCTTATACCAATTTACCAAACGAGTGTCTCCGGAGCCAGGCTGAGTCAGCCTCGGAGGGACGCAGGCAAGCCGAAGGGTGTGGGGACAGAGGATATGCACCTCTCCGCTCCAGGGACAGTGAACCAGGGGGACGCACAGACCTCAGTTTTCAGACCCCTCCGGAGGACTTGCCTGGAGGCCCAGAAGCCCCTTTCTGGTCTGTGGGGGGGTCCATGCCCCGGGCAGGGCCCCAGGTCTGGCTGTGCTCGTGACCACCGGCTCTCCCGGCTCCAGCCTTGCTTCCCGGGCCCCGCGCACACCCCTCGTCATGCCACCACGGACCCAGTGCGACCCCCCTTTCCCGAACCCCCCCCCCCCCCCGTGGCCTTCTCCGCAGGCGCTGCTTCCCCAGAGACCTGTGGCTGGCTTAGGGGGGGGGGCGCACCGCAGACCCGGTCCTGGGAGGACAGAGGGTCTCCTGTCCG